AGATTTCATACACTTTGAGGTTTTGCTCCATACTACGGACCACTGGCACCTCGACGTCTACGGACCCTACCCGGACTCCTTTATATTTCCAACCTGCCGGGATCTTTTACTTTTTGTTACCATACGGGGGGGACATCAGACAGATTGTTTTGCGTTCTCTTTCCCAACACACTCACATTTGACGGTTCTGTTCACTCTCAACGAAGTCCCGGCCACGCCTGCTGGTATGTACAATGCATTTTTCTTTTTCTGTTAGCCAGTCACAGTTCTCCGCCCCGCGATTTCATCCCAATCCGCTATCTCCGCCCCGCCAATCATTCTGGTTACACTCAGCCAGGTGCAACTACCAAGTGCTTCAATTGCCCAGTTGCATCTCAAGGAGATTGCGTGCGTTAATGACGCCTTCCACTCCAACGCCTGCATGGGAAGGGCGCGCATGTCGGCATCCTCAGCTTACTCACACTCGTCCCCAAAATGCAACTCAGCGCTTGGCTAACGTGGGGGATGAAACCTCTCTTCACTTCGTCCCCATGAGGGACGAGGAGAGAGAGGGGTGACTCCGATGCTATGTGTAGATCTGGAGTGTTATACTATCCCGCGACCGTGATCAACCAGGCCTTCTCTTAAAGGTGTGCTGCCCGGTGTGCTGCATCACGACAGTGAAGTCTGCCTCAGCACAAGTCATCGATATCTACTGAGATTTGGAGGTCGTCAAGTCGCCTCATCGAGTCGGGTGGCTCATCATCTTTAGACTCTGGTCAGAGTTGCTCATCGGGTGCGCATTCTACCGTCGCCAGTTGCTGTCCGCTCAGTTGAATTAAACGTACGGTCAAAGACAACTGCTCTTACTTGGAGCATTTCTGACAGCTGTCCAAGAAGCGGCAGTGGATTTACCAAGAAATCGGATCTTAATCGAACGAACTCTATCCCTCCACGCACCAAAGAGCAGTCATCAGAGTAGCAATGGGTCTTCTGTACGTATACCGTCCCCGATATGGACACTTGCTGCACAAGTCGCGTCCCGGGGGAAAACACCAGTCCCACCGCTCATGACGCCATATACTGATACTACAAAAGAGCTTTGGGAACGGCTCTGGATTGGCCAGATGCCAAGCAACAAGCACATCTCGTTCGCGCCTGGGGCATCAAGGTGAGCATTAACACCCTTTAACCCCGACCCCCAATGCTTTCCCGCGGATACACCACGGTGTATGATGGGAAGAGGCCCCGCAGACGTATGCTAACGCTATATCAGCAATTACTCGAAATATGGAACAAGGCTAAGGGTAAGGAGCGCGACATTATGCTCTGGGGTGATGAGGTACGTTTTGACTCCGATGGCTTGAGCCACTGCTTCTTAGGGTCCTAACTCCATGCTTAGATCGAGTACTTGGTCGTCAACTATTCCAAAGATGATCCTAAGGTTCTGCTCTCCCTTCGCCAGGCCGATATTCTCAAAGCCTTGGCCGACAGCAACACTCTTAAGGTAACAGGAGACTGTGCCCCTGGTACTGAGGCCAATGGAGATGCCGGGAACGTAACTCTTCCCATTTTCCATCCGGAATTCGGAAGATTCATGCTCGAAGCCACCCCCGGAAAGCCATGGGGTATCGACTTCAAGGACTTGTTGACCGTTGAGGCCGACATGAAGTTGAGGAGGTGCATTGCGAAGGACCACATGCTCCCGAATGAGCATCCCATCACGCTCACCACTTTCCCCCGCATCGGCAGCCCAGGAGTGTTCACTGAACCATCGTATCCCGTCTCCGGCCCCAAGCTGCGATCGCAATTTGTCCCCGACGAGATCGCCAACCCTCATATTCGCTTCCCTACCCTTGCGGCCAACATCCGTTCGCGCCGCGGACGGAAAGTCCAGGTCAATGTTCCGGTGTTCAGAGACGAGAACACCCCGTGGCCATGGAAGGACCCAACCGTCAACCACGACCTACACAACTGGCCCGAGGACGATGATGTTCGTAACGGCGCCGCTCCCAATAACTTCATTCACATGGATGCCATGGCCTTCGGCATGGGCAGCTGTTGTCTGCAAATCACCTTCCAGGCCAAGAACATCACCGAAGGCAGGAAGATGTACGACCAGCTGAGCCCTCTAGGTCCTATCCTGCTTGCGCTCACTGCGGCGACACCAGTGTACAAGGGGTTCCTTGCCGATACCGATGTCAGGTGGAACCAAATTAGCAGGGCTGTGGACGACCGCACGCCTGAGGAGCTTGGGGAGAAGGTAAGAAGAGCAATATTTCATGGTTTGATTCAAATGCTGACTATTCTATAGCCTCTGAAGAACGACAGGTGGCGGATCCCTAAGTCCCGTTATGCTTCGAACTCAACCTATATCTCTACCGATTCTCGGTTGCGACCTGAGTACATGGATCCTAACCTCGTCATCGACCCCGAGATTAAGCAGCAGTTGCTCGACGGTGGCATGGACGACCGTTTGGCTACCCATTTTGCCCATCTCTTCATCCGCGATCCTATCGTCATCTTTAATGAAGATCTCCAGGAGCTCGACCTGACCAAGACGGATCACTTCGAGAACATTCAGAGTACTAACTGGCAGCACATGCGCTTCAAGCCACCTCCGGCTGACAACAGCATCGGCTGGCGTGTGGAGTTCCGGCCGATGGAGATCCAGATCACCGATTTCGAAAATGCCGCCTTCTCCGTCTTCATCGTTCTCATTACCCGTGCCATCCTCAGCTTCGACCTGAACTTCTACATCCCGATCGTGAAGGTGGACGAGAACATGGAGACCGCCCACGCCCGCAACGCCAACCTCGAGAAGAAGTTCTGGTTCCGTAAGAACCCATTCCCCGTCCGCACAACCCGCAGGGGTGGCAGCGCCTCCAGATCGGCTTCCGGCGCCAGCACACCCAACCACGGACCAAGCAGACCCACCACCCCACCCCTGGGACCTGTCGAGGACGAGTACAGACTTATGAGCGTCAACGAGGTCATCAACGGCACCGCGTACGCCAAGGCGACTTCCAAGGAGGTGACCGAGGATGCCGAGGAGGGCGAAGAGTTCCCCGGTCTCATCCCCCTGGTGGAAAGCTACCTCGACAGCGTCAACATGGATGTCGCTACTCGTTGCGGACTCGCCCGCTACCTCGATCTCATCCGCAAGCGCGCGAGCGGAGAGCTCTGGACGGCGGCCAAGTGGATCCGTGAGTTCATCGCGAAGCACCCCGAGTACAAGAAGGACAGCGTGGTCTCGGAGGAGATTACCAAGGATCTTGTCGGTGCGGTTATCCAGATTGGCGAGAGGGAGAAGCGCGGGCTGGGCATCGATGACTTGATCGGGCAGGTGCCGGATTTGGAGAAGTTGTTTGGCGGGTTCCTCAAGGGCAAGAGCCCTTGCGGTGGTGGCCAGGCAGCCTTGGAGCAGGAGTTGAAGGATGATGCCAAGGTGAACGGTGTGAAGAGGAAGTTCAATGCGGAAGAGTAGGGTTGATACTCTGGGGCTTTCTTCTGTTATATGACGTGATTGGGGAGAGGCAAAAAGTCTTGCTTGGAAAATAATAGCATAGGAGTCATGGTGGAAGCGGTAGCATGCTAAAAGCCTAGCAAGGAGCTGAGATATGAGAGGAGGGTGGACGTTTGTTCTTTTTGCATCATCGTTAGACTGCATTGCCTTGGATACGCTACGCACGATCTTTGTATGGTTTTCTGTTTTTGGCTCATTATTCTGAAGTGGAGACATTGTTACAAAATTCTGCATCTGTTGAATTGTCTACTGTACTCGAGTTCTGCGTATCTGCCGATGTTCGAGACGACCACTTGTTTATTTTTCTATACGCAACTGGCTTACGGCTTCGATGATACACTTCCGCGACTTGCAAGCATTAAGCCGGCCTTTATGAAACCAAGTTGAGATGCTAATCTTCAACGAAAACAGCCCGATTAGCTCAGCTGGTTAGAGCGTCGTACTAATATCAGGCTCTGATATCAAGTCAATGCGAAGGTCAACAGTTCAATCCTGTTATTGGGCATTTCTTTTTCTACTTTTTGTCTTTTTTCTTTTCCGTCCTCCTCCGGTTTCTCTCTGTTTTTGCCTCCTTGCTCAATATCAATTCAACTTGACATATTTCTTGCTTTTCGCTTGATTGTGAAGCTACCTTAACATCGAAGTCGTGGACTGGCTATCTGTCTTATCGATAAGATGAACGACTCGCCCACAACAGGACTTCCACCAAATTTTTGACCATGAATTCTTCTTTCTCGTCAAGCTCTGCACAAAGCCGCCCAGATAATCACCTATCAATCGCCATCCCTGTTCATATGGAAACATAGCTAACATGTTTCGACAGGGAATCTTTAGATGACAGGGACAGCAGGCTTGAAGGATAAGGTTGCATCGGGCCTCGTGGTTCTGAAACACGACTGGAGCTCCTTGTTCCGAACGTCAACCCAATCCTCTGTCGACTTCCCCGCGCCGCATAAACTTGATCCCTACAACATCCCAACAACCACCACACCCGACAACATGATTCGCTTTGAATTCGAAATGGACTGCGCCGTGATTCCACCTCAAAGAAATTCCATTTCTGGATTCTCTTCAGGACGACATGGACCAGAGGAAAGGCAAAGCGTGTTCAGTCATCTTCCACGACTCGGTCGAAGGGTCGACATGGCGGAGTGATGATGGAGCCACCACAAGAACCATGAAGGATGAGGCTGACATTATGTCCAAAAAGCTTGCGATAAGCCAGCCCTTTCTTCATCATTCGCCCCGTTTGTACCATGAACCACCGTCGGAAGCTCACATCGAGCATGGCCGATTGGCCGCACCAGGAACCAGACCCGGCACTGCAGAAGCATAAAAGAGGTCCTATTATAGAGTCATCCTGGCAACCGCAGCCTTTACCGTCCAACAAGACATCGCCAGCATAGGACTATCACTCAGCCAAGACGGTTCTCTCGTCACCTCGTGTGTTTGACCTACCATCGTGCGAGAAGCGATCCTGCCGTTATGCCTGCCTTACCGTGCATCTCGACACCCAGTTCAAGGCCTGATACAAGACTCATACTTACCACTGACCCTTCCCACCCTTTTTTCTTCTTTATCCTTGTTGCCCATCATGGCTAGAGACCTCCTTCTCCTCGTTTCAGGTATCCTCCCAGCAAACCAACCAAAGATTCACGCCCGCCTTATGAACAGTGTCATACCGTGTCACTCTTCCTCTCGAGAGCTCTTCATCGCATCATCATCATAGTGATCATCTTTCACTCGTTCGTTGAGCCTCAGTGGCCTCTTACATTCGTTTATGTTTATCTAGCGTTTCTAAAAAAGCAACGCAACCAGCAGTACATCCTCCAAAATGGAGAGCATAATGGAGGGAACCGCCCCCTCCACCTCATCCCAACGAGTCACACAAAACCAGCGCTCCTTCATCCAAGAACGCCGTCGCCTTCGGTCCCTAATCCAATGGCCCTTTCAATCCATAGCCACCGAAACCAGCAGCTTATTCTCCTTCACCCTTTCCGGCCGACCGCCAACGAGAGCGACAAGAGCAACCAGGACAACCAGAACAGGGACCGTCTCATCTGCTGGAGGCGGTGGCGGACCAGAGCGCCCCCCCTTTGCCCGCCGAGCGACTTGGGACCCGAAACGGATACGGGAAGAAGATGTCGAATCGGTCAACCAGGACCTCATACCTGATTATGTCATCAACTACCTGCGCGGCGAGACACCGGAGATGGTGGCGAGGAGGAAGAGGAATGGCGGGAAACTGGGTGAGAGGGCGGTGGATATGACGCATCAGCACCGGCCGCATAGATCGAGAGCTGGCATTCTCGATGGGCTTTCGGAGACAAGCAGCGAAAGGTTGGGGTTTTGGGGAGAGGATGGAGGAGTGGCGGGTGGGGATGAGGAGAGGAGGTATATACTACCCGGGACAGGGTCACGGTGGAAGAGGTGGAGTGGTGCAGTGTCGGGAGGAAGTGGAAGCAGGAGGTGGAAGAGGTGGACGGCCGGGTGGAGGGCAGGCGTGGGATTGAACGCTTTCCTGGCAGGGCTGATTTTGCTGGTGGGGGTCATTTGCTTGGTGATACTGGCGGCGTGGAAGGGGAAAGATGTCTTCAGGGGGAGGATCCTCATCTATGAAGGCTCATGCTCGACAATTTCGGCGATCGATTGGGGATTACACGCTGTCATCAACATTTTAGGGGTGGTTTTGTTGGCTGGGGCAAACTATACGTTCCAAGTACTGAGCAGTCCTACGAGGGAGGAGATTACGGCGGCGCATGAGAAAAAGAAGTGGTTGGATATCGGGATACCGTCGTTTCGAAATCTGGGATATGTCGCAAAGAACAGGAGTCTCTTGGCCGTTGTCGTTCTTCTAGCGGCTATCTTCACACACGTAATGTGAGTTTGCTTTTTTTTCTCTTTGCGAACGCGTCTAGACGTCTTAAATGCTAACCATTGGAGCAGTTCTAATTCCATAATCTTTATATCCGGCCCCGCCCCAGCAAACCGAACCACCACCGACACTCCCCAACCAACCTGCCAACTCAACGTCTACGGCTCCCTCCTCGGCATCACCGTCCTCCTCAACCTCATCACCATCCTCTCCCTCACCTCCGTCCTCATCTTCTTTAAGCGACCAACCTTCATCCCACTCGTCACCCTCGGTGACGCCATCACCTCCTTTCTCAGCGATCCCGACACTATCACCCAAGGCGCATGTCTCCTCTCCAAAGACGACGTCAGAAAGGGGAACTGGGCGTCCGGAGCGAGTCAACCCAAGCACTGGGTGCCCAAACGCCACTACTGGTTCAACACCCCCTCTCTCCCACGCTGGATCATCACGGGATTAGTATGGGCAGTCTGCGCGGGAGCTACAGCTGCCTGTCTGGCGTTTTCTATCATGCATGATGATGGAAAGGGTCTTTCGCCGTTTGGCAATAACCCCTTAACCTTTTCAGACCGAGACTACTCTTCAGCGCCAAACCCGCCGCCGCTCATCCCTCTCAACCAACCAACAGGGGGGGGACAAACAACCCTCCCAGCCTGGGCAGCAACCATCCTCTCCTCCCTCCCTCACCTCCTCCTCTCAGCGCTTTACCTCGCTCTCAACCCGCTTTTGACGACTTACTTTCTCTCGCACGAATCCTCCCTCTTTTATTCCACCACTCACCAGGGCAACAACCAGGGCCCCGATTCCAAACCGCAACCGCTACCGCAACCACTGCGTGTATCCTCCTCCGCCCTCGACATCGACCCCGACAGCTCACAAACGACTTCTCTCTACCTCACCCTTCCCCGGCCCGTCTCTTGGTTTTTATTGGGTGACTTTTCGGCCATGGGATTTGTCATGAGTCAGAGTTTTGGGGCTTTACACACGACGGAACCGTCATTAGTGGAGACAGAGACAGAGACAGAGACAGAGACGGTAGTAACGGCCCTAACAACCAGCGGTGTCGGCTTAACTAGTCTCCTCGCCCTCCTGGTTCTGCTTTTGGTATTCACCTTGGCGCTGGGGTTTAGGACATCATCCACTTTCAAGTCTTCCACCTCCTCTACGTCAAACTACCCCAGTGGCAAACTCACGCCTGCATCGGGGGCATCCGAGGGAGGTGGTGATGAGAAAGCAGTTATCGGAAACCCGATGGCTTTGCCAGGAGGGAGTTGTAGTGCTGTTATTAGCGCTCGATGTCATTTTGTCCCTAGGGGTAGGGACGAGAAGGGGAAGGGAAAGCGTAGGAGTGTTGGGTTTAGTGATGCTGTTGGTGCTGGTGACATGGATACTACGGAGATTTGGAAGAGGCCGTTGGTGTGGGGAGTGGTAGGGGAAGGAGCAGCTGAGAATGAAGAAGCGGCAGCGGTGGGAATTGGACATTGTGGGTTTACCGTGGCTGGGAAGGCGGGAGCGGTTACGGAGGGGAGGGCTTATGCTTGATATCTATGATTTTAATGAATTCTTTTTGGAGTTTCTGTGTCCTTCATTGCGGTTGTTCTATGGCTTTTTGCGGTATGTGTTCGGTTATGGTCAGATACCCACAAGCCCCTGGACTGGACGATGAGATTCCTTTTTAGCTGTTTACTAAGCAACCCAGAATGAAGATCGCGTTGTTGTCGATATGGCTACAACTAAGCATTTCCAACCCACGAAGTCATCATGAAGTCCCCACAATTAAGGGGGAAACAGGTTAGAACGAAGTTGACATGGGCAGCATGTCCTCATGAAAATTTTGGTAATCTTACCGTCAGTTTTGGTATCAGCACCACACAGTACCCACCTCTTTTCCGTCTCTTCTTTTCTCCCAACCCAACACAGTCTCCATGACTCTTTCATACTTCTTCCAGTACCTGCCATGCCACCCATCACTGGTACCCCTCCGTCAATGGGCAGACCAGGCGCACTGTGGAAGCCTGCATGCATGCATGACAGTCCCGTGAGTAAAAAGGACCCTGAGATAATATGGAGAGAAGTCAGTATCCTCAGGAAGAAGCAAGCCAGAATAGAAACTGGTTAGTTACCCCCGCTGTGGATGGAGCACATGGCAAGGGCCACGAGAAGGATGGCGTTATGAAGTTGACATGACGTTCTCAGCTGCTGGAGAATGCTTCCAGATGCACAGAGGCAGATACGGATGTGGCTTGGGTAACGATAACACGCGGCAGCCACCGCCAAAGGAGCAACCAATTCATTAATCGATCGTGCCTCGTGGGTGCCAGGATTCGGATATCTTTGGAAGGGCCCTCCAGAAAGACGGGTCAGATGAGGTAACGGGCCGTCAATCTTAGTCCACATTTCCCGCCTTCGGCCGGTAGTTCGACTCCATATCATGCCATGTTGGCGGAGGCTGTATATCTCGGACAGAGCTGACGAAGTGATGAGGAGGTTGAGGTTGAGACGTGGCGCCTCGCCCAGGAAACGATGGAGCTCTCAGCTCCCCATCTTGGCAACGCCATTGGAGCGATGGTCCGTATTAGGTATGCGAGATGAGATCCTGTGTTCAGGGTCCTTTCAGACCTTCCACTCCGTTCCCGGTTACCAGTTCCTCTAAGCTCCGTTGTCTTTCATCTAGAAAACTGAGATCCAAGGAAAAGTTAGCGCGGGGACGATCTCATCTTAATACACAGAAAACATAATATTCTAGGTTTCCATGGTGATGCAAGTTCCTTACTGGATGTAGCATAACTCTGCTTTGTTGAGTGAAGCACAGGGCTCATAAATCTTACTGAGCCGCCATCTGTCTTGGAACATGGGAAACACTCTTACCGCTTTGTTGGGAAATTGGAGGAACATTGGCTGTGCTATGCATATTGAGCGCAAAGCTTTGTAAGGGACTCTCCTGAGTCGAAGGCTCGGAGTGATAGATTGGTTGTGTCGATCCGATGTTAGACATGAGGCAAAACGAACCATAGGAAACTATGTCCGAAGCCCACTCCGTTCCCGGCGATTATGGGGACAGATGCCGTATCCTACTCTATGGTTGTCGATCTATGTGTGACCGACAGCCCCCGGGAAAGTGGTCGGCCTCGCTGGAAATTCTTGCCCTTTCAAAGCATACCATGGAGCGGCTCACCTGGCATGAGTTGATGAGTGGCTTAGCAGGTCCGGATGAACTTTCCCGCAAATCCCACGTGTGATCGGAGTGTAGACCAGACTTGGCCAATATTGCTTTCGGTAGACGCACGCACATGGCGAGCGCTAGGAGGAGACCGAAGAGCATCGGTGTAGAATATGGAAAAGCCACGGAAGAAGAGTGAGACGCCGGATCGAGCCGAGCACATGGCCCCCCTGGCGATCAAGAGCTGCCCTTCCTGCCGTCATCTCCAATCGCAGAGACCCAGAAGGGAATATTGAAGATGACCATTGGGAATATCGCACTTCCATTGGGGCTTGCAAGGTTAATGGCTCGAATGGATCAGCAAGCAGGGTCCTGTCAACGCTTCCTAGTGAGACATGACAGAGCTTCTGCCATGTTTCTTGTTGACACCGGTTGGTTGGGGCCGAATATTTGAGTCAGTCGATCTGGATCCGGACTCGATCGTGCTTTTTGTTGATTTTGTCCTTGATCGACAAGCTAAGTGCCCGCGCAGCTCGAAGCCGACTCTTTTATCAATAACACTTTTGCATAAGAGCTTCAACGATTCTGGCCCAATCGCACAATGAGATGTCCTGAAGCGGCAAAATGTGGAATGATCGGATTATTCCGAGTGCATGGCAGACACAGACAAAAGTCAGGCACGTCGTCGATGACAGCGAAGCGGTGTAGCATAGCGCTCGCATCCATCGTCGGTCAAAAGGACCCCTAAGGTCTGTCAGTCTCGGTTTGTACGCGGTGTGCGCGTTGAATCATTGGTAAAAGCCAATCATGGAGATGAACAGCGTGTCTTGGACCCGAACCGACGAGTGAGAATGGGTAAAACACCTTCCCCTTACCTCTTCTCCGGAGCGACTGCCCCTGAGTCGTGAATGTCTCGGTCAAAGACTGGTTAGATAATGTTCCTTGGTGTTGTCGACGGAGGCTCATGGAGTTCAGGTCGGCCGATTGGCAAAGACACAGACCGGACACCCACGGCAATCTTCATTCTTCGGCATGAATCTAGAAGGAAAAGAGGAAACGAAGAGGGTTGGCGGCCGCAGCAGGTTGCAGCCAGGTTGCAGCGGCTGAAACCAGTTCGGGAACCGACTCGCCAGCCGCCATGTGCAAGTGAAAAGTGTCATCGTGGTCTGCCGGTAAGAGAGAGAGTGAGAGAAGGGACTGAGAAAATGGGAGTGCATATACCGGCAGAGGCCGTTGGTGATCTATCGTTGGTGGCCCTGCACTGCCCTGCCCTGCCCTGCCCTAATACGTCATAGCAGACTTTGTTATCAAAGGTTGTTGCCTCATACGCGGAGAAAGTTCCGGAGTCGTTCCTACCTGTACATCGAGGTACTCGCGATATGGTCACGAGCATGGAAGGAAGGTGCGTTGCTCCAGCCACGATTGACACTCCGTCTTTTCTGACACTGTTAACCGGGACAATCTCTCAAGTTGGTCGAGTGTCGACAACGAGAACAACTGTCTCAACTCCACGAGCGATGGCCATTCACACCATGACAATCGTTTTCTTATCCTGTCATTCTCATTGAGGCAATGCACAACACCCATCACGGATTCAACGCTGACACTGCTGGGTGACTGGGTGATTGCTGGTGATGGACGGGAGTGATGATGGGTGATAATGCACCTACCCGTCCGCACACACTCGAAGGAGGGGGCCGCTTTCTGAGGTGTGTTTGTCGCCTTACCATATGCCAGGTGCCCTCCTCCCATCCCGTCTGTCCCGCCTATAAGCAGCCGAAGACGAACAGGTGGCCAAAGACATCCAGTCCATCTATCGCTCCCGCACATCCCGCCATCCTTCGATCGGCAACTGGCTGCGGTGCCTGCATCCTATTGTTTGTTCTCGGCAGGTGGGGGTAGAGGTCAGGTTGCAATGAGTCCAAGAGCCTCACTCGGCTCCGCTACCGCAAAGACTCGGGCCATACGTTTTCAGGTTCCAGGGAAATCAGACACAATCAGTACACTTGAGGCACCTCTAGCATTGCAGGCTGCTCGAATCTCTCCCAAAACCCAAACCCTAAGGCACCTAATACATAGATTCTGTCAGTTAGGCCCTGGAACCTAAAAACGTATGGCCCGAGTCTTTGCGGTAGCCCATTCTCCATCTTATTGCCTTATCATTGTACTTGTGTTCTTGTACAATGTACAGCGCCCTTCCTGACCTCACTTTTCCTCCTTCGGCTCCTCTTGACTAACAAGGCAATATTTCACAAGATTGAAATATGCTGGTCGTTGGCGTTCTCTCCACGTTGCACATAGGATCCAAAAGGGGCGTTGGGGGTGGCGACTATCTTATCCATTGCTTTGTGTCCATCGTGGACTGGTTGTGGGTAAGGTTGGGACAGGATATCAAAGACGATGGCACTGGAGTGATTAATATTCTGCCCACCTGGGCCATGTAAGCGTTTTCAAATGTGTCAAGTACAGAGGGCGTGCATGAATTACTACTGGACCCCCTCCATCCCCCTTCAATATCGCGGATAAGGGTCCGGAAGCTTGCCTAGGGGCTCCAATGATGTGTTGTCAAGCGACACTCACATTTTCTCATCGCATCTCTTCCTCGCCATGCAGCCAGGCGACACACAGCACAGTATCCTCCCTCAATCTTCACCTTGCGCAGGGCAGCCACAGCTGGGCGGGAAACCAACCGTTGTGCGAGTCTGGGGAAAGTTACATCATCAAGGATGGGAGGTACTCCGGTACATCACACGCCTATACTTGTGTGTGTATACTAAAGCACTGTGTTGTGTTTCACGGTGCGTGCTCTTGTTTCTCAATCCTTCTCGTGCTTTAAGCGTTACAAAGGCGGCTAAGGTACCGACACAGCGCAAATAGCTGAGGAGGGTACAACGGGATGGATCTTGGATCTCGAAGAGAACGGAGGCCGGCATGAGGAAAGGTGAAATTGGTATGTAGGACAGGCTGAATGCAATTCATTTGTTGGCCAAAACACTTGTTACACTACGTAGTTCCTTACTTATTTCCTTTTGAAATGTACACTTGTGAGTTTCTTAGTGTCCTCAATGTTCAGTGCTTCCAGTTACCCTTTCATCTCTCCTTTTCTGGAACACTAGAGATTAAAGCTGCAAACTCAAATTACAATTCAAAGCCAAAATGTACCTAGAGAAAACCAACATAGCGCTTACATACTGCTCACTCCTCTTCAACGACCTTGTCATGCCGATAGAATAGTAGGTACCTACCTATCCGCCCACGACCAACCAAAACCACACAGTCAGTAGAACACAGTACAAGCGGCAGCCAACCTTAAAAGCTGTGTACCCGTTGATCACAACGCACGCAGTGGTGTACGGTACGCACAGCACATAAGCCGACCTCAACAACGCATGTCTACCTGACCTGACTTGGCCCTAAATAAACTGGGCTGATCCAACGGGCAAGAAAAAGAAAGGGTTAGGTTGTTGACTGGGGCTGAATGGTGGGGAAGTCAATACCAGACCTTATTAGACTGAAAGTAGGTGACAAAAAGCAGAACTTGCAATTATACAGTTGAGTGAAGGAGGTTGATATTATTCACAACTTGTTTAACATTACAATGGTTCTCGAGTATACCTTACCTACTTACTTTAGCTGTTACCTACAGTTGATACATATAGGCAAGATGGAATACCTAAGCTAGGTAGTGGGAAAGTACACAGGCTCTTCACCACCCCTTGCTCACTCACTTCTCACATTTTGACGACATAACGATGTATACAATCACCAGCGCTCACTGTAGAATGAACGATCGATGTGTTGTCACCTCAACAAGGCCCCCTGGCTTCCATGTCTTCTTCCATCTGATCCCTGAGATGGATGGTCTCCCGAACGGTATGTCGCCTCTGATTCTTTTTCTGCTTGTTCCGTCCCATGCCCACTACAGTGTATACAGACGTACTATCTTGCTGTGTTTTCCATCACCTTGCTAACCGGACTGAAGTCAAGTGGCTGAATGTACAATAAAAAACGTCCTACAAGTTGACGATTATTGATTAGGGTTGAATCATGAAATTTCAAACATGGCTTTCAGATTTAGCATACAATGAATAATGGCACGATAGGTAAGTATCTGCCGGCCATCAGATTCAACATTCACAACATCCAAGATCCAACCCAAACCACATGACGAAACCCAATTCCAGGCCAGCCGTGTGATTGATACCTCTGTGCGCCGCCACCAGACCGCCAACCGCTCCTACACCATCCGGGACGACCATGTGCACCGAGCCGATTCACCTCCCTTCTTCACGCGGGCCGAACAACGCATCCCGCATCCTTTTCTTCATTTGGTAAGCAGATAGATACGCACGAAAAATTTGGGATAGGGAAGGCTATTTATTTTTGTTTACCATTGTTCCCTTTGTTTAGACCTGCCTGGGGTTTGTCACTCCAAATTGCTCACCGTTCACTCGGCGGTCTTCCCGATGTCATGTCAACTCAAAAACTGGTATCAAAAACTCAAATCTTGCATTTTCCATCGGTCCCCCGGTTTCCTAGTCCCCCCGTCCCCGTCCCCGGTGCTCCCGGGTTCACTACACTAGGCTGACTGGAAGAAATCGTAAACGTCGATCGATCCCTCCCCTTTGATTACATCACTTCATCGGTCTCGTGGCTCTAGGTTTGTAACCCCCTGTTGTTTCTAGAATTCCGCGTTTTCTTGATCTAGGGATGGGGTAGTGTTTGTACACTACGGAGATCTGGCATTGTCTACCTAGTAGTCCCGTGGCATTGGAGAGGGCTTTCATAGGTAGGTTGGGTTACGAATGTTCTGTATCAGTAAGATGAAGTCAATGGACGACAGGTGGGTGACACTTGAATGCGACTGATCGATGGAAAGTGGTAATAATATTGTTAGTTAGGCAACTTGATGGCATTGTCTGAAGACCCTTTTTCCTCTTTTCTTTTGCCATAGAGCACTGATCTCTTCTGTTATGAGGTACCTAGCACACTCGTATGTGATACCTCCCTCCCTCCATGTCCCTCCATGTCCAGTCCATCCCAGCCGCCACGTAAGCTAGGTAATCTAGGTATAGAAACCTTGTCTTTTGCCATGCCATGCCATGCTTTACGCCTTGCAAGCCTCATCATGACCGTGACCCGTCCTGCCCGTATCGTGTTTGTTTTGGGCAAGTGTGTTTGTTTCGTTTGCTGACGCGCCCGACAAATTTCCCACAAGGAACTCTTTCCGCCTCTTTCAAAAAAGAAGTTGCTTTGCCCTCGTATCCTACCCTGCCCTAGATATGCCACATCATCTGATCGCTGATTGCGCTTCGGCATGGTTATGCTTGCTGTAGATCGTGTTCCGGTGCTGTGTGATGGATGGTGCGTCGAAACAGAAAGAAGGCAAGCAAATAAAGACCCAATCGACGCCACAACAGATACACGCAGAAAAACAATACTGTGTCCGTACGCGTACTGGCAAAGACGCACTCCAAAAAGAATTTGAGGAAAGATATTCAAAGTAGAAAAAGTCAGCCACCGCTCTTTCTTCTCTGAACCCTGATACCCAAAATCATGGGACCCGCCAAGAAAACCGCGTAAAGAAAAACAAACGGGAACGAAACGCCATGCTAGATGCCATGAAGCTCGTGTTTGCTTTACCAGAATAGTGGAACAGGTTGGAACTGCAGATATGTGTATGCAGATAGTGTAACGAGAAATAAGCCGCCCAAGCCTTGTTAGCTTTCTAGCAACTCCCCTCGTTCAGCCTGAATTTGTGCGAAACAAAATCGGTCCTATATACCGGTTCTGGAAAACAGCGGTGGAAAAGGGGTATAACGTATATACAGCTTTTTTCAAGATGTAGAATAAACAAGGGCTTTTGCGTTGATTCATGAACAAAACCACAGATCCCCTCATGCCCGGACCTCTGCCTTCTTTGTGCTGCGCCTAGAACCGCAACCAGACCAAGCCCAGAACCCCAAAACCAGAACCCCGGGTATAAAAGATAACATAGAACCAGGATAAAGAAGGCTTGCTAAAACAAATTGGAAGATAATCGTGACTCGAATGCGTCTGTACCGTTTGCGCGCTGCAAAGACGGGGCAACTCGAGAAGTAGCTTCGATGTAAGCAGCACACATGGTGCCGCTGGCTGCAATCGAATTTGTCAGGACTGGGTTGGAACGCCCGCGGTAGTTGTATTTTGGTGCCGAATGGTATATCTAGTTTCGATCGTCGGTGGGTTTAGGTCGAATGGATCGCTGTTCCAATTGTCGTTTGCGTTCAAGCTTGGCGTAGTGCAAGCCGCAGGCGTTGCAGAGAGTTCTCGCGCCGTCTGGGCCGCGCCTCCATTCGGGAGTATCGATCCTGTTGCAGCTATGGCACCGTCCGGGAGGAGCCGCACGCTGTATCACAGAAATGTGTAAGCTTCAGGCTCGTTTCCATCTCTTTGCACCAGGCTCCAAAGTTGGGACAAAACAACTTACGCCACGCCTTTTCTTCACTTCGTTAAAGGACGAATGCTTTCCCATGCCGTCACCATACATGGAGACATCGTCGTCCTCAGCTCCGGACTTGCGTCCACCATTCTCTCGGGACCGTTCCGAATTGATCTGGGCGATGAGGTGTCGGAGGTTCTTCAAGTTCTCGACCGCGACGACTGCGCTGTCGATGACAACGGAGATTTCACTTTCGGTTGGTAACCTTGATGGAAGCGGCTGTCCTTGCTGTTCCCGTGCCGCGGCGCCGTAGCCTTCAGCAAAATGATAAACGGTGCGCCCAGCGTGCGCTATCTGCTTATTCTTCATTATTAGACGTGGAAAAGTGAACGAGTTTGACTACAGTTTCACACTTACCATGTACATCATCTCCCCATAAGACGACCAGTCCGGCAAGGACCTTTCTGAGGCAGACTTGTATTCGGTACTTCTAGCATGACCATGCCCATATTCTTGCTCCTCTGGGTACATAGGCGGTCGGTGCTGCGAGTCGTATGGTGAGGGCAGTCCGGGTCCACTATGCCTGGGGGAAACAGGGTAAGCCGACAGCGGTAGTTGGCCAGGAGGAAGACGTCCCGTTTGCGAGTAATGGGGTCCCGCTGGATGTCCTGGAGGATGGTGAGGATACCCGGCGCTCATTGGGGATGCCTCGGCATGCCTTTGGTCAATCTCCATCTGTTCAAGCTTTACGGGTGGCGAGGGGTGCTGATGATGTGTTGGAAATGTATTCAGCGGGGGAGGCGGAGGCGGCCTGCTAGACAATGGAGGTCTTGCGGGGTCGGAGAAGGCGGGTAGAGGATCAGGGCGGGGGAAGCCCGAGCTAGGATGCAGTGCCCTCGGTGAAGGATGCTTGTCGACATCGTAACTTCGTGGCGGACCAGATGGTGCAAACGGCGAAGGGAGGGTCTGGGTTGGCGGCAGTGAGGTCGGAGCATGTGGAGGGTAGGAGGTCGGCTTGGTACCCGAGATAACTTCTGAAATGGAAGGCAACGACTGTCGGTGAGGGTTCTCCGACTCGTCGGACGTCCGCCGGGAATCGACGGGCGAAATCATGCCGGGAATGCTTGCGGAGGACGAAGGGTGATAGCCGCCGTGGGAAAATGAGTGCGAGTGGTATTGATGGGAGCTTGGGTTGATCAAGGTTGCTGTCGCCATGGCTGTGCCTTCTCTGCTGCTTCTGTTGTTGTATGGTCGTGCTGGATCAAAGTGTTCACGAGTGGTGGTGGCAGATGGGATCCCGCTAACAGAAGACAAAATGTTAACCCAATTGCTCGAGGATGCAGACGGATTGACATGAGGAGAGACGCACCTTTGCCTAGCAGCAGAATCGCCCGCTTCCATAGCGGGTCTTGATAGAATAAATGGCGTCGATAACCCAAGCAGAGCACCCCTAGCTCAAACTAGCATCTGACTCGAAGAGGCCAGGATAGACGGGATGAAGAGACGCAACAGCTCTATCGGCGGACGCAAAGGGCGGGACGGACCGGAGAGACAGTCCGTTGGTATCGCGTGCGGGTATACACTCTATAAGGGCACAGTACCTAGTAGACAGGAATATCTATGGCATCCAGTGTGTAGTTAGTTGGTCGTGCAATGGAGTGTGATGGTGAAGAGTCGATTCTGTGACGTGGAGGTGGTGAGATTGCGTGGTGGTGGCTGCCAGACAGAGAGGTGCACAGGCCGAATCGCAGTGGTGGTGGTGGTGGGTATTCAGTCAGGTTGGGAGATCTGAGATCTGAGTGGGATCGAGATGGAGTTGGGTGACGAGTGGACAAGAGAGGCCACGCCTTCGGTCCGGTCAGGTAACAAGTCTCTTTGTTCTGCTTCCGTCTCTTGTAGGTATTTGCGGGAGGCGATGCAAAGTCGGAAAAACCACCCGGGCTGACTGCGTCTGTCGAGATTGGAGATTGGAGACTGCAACGTCCACTGCGACCAGCTGCTGGAATGGCAGGAATGGAGATTGCAGATGGGCCAGATGGGATGGGACAAGATGAGGGAGGGGGGACCGATGGGGAGGATTCGGGTTTTTGTCAGTATTTCCGGGACAGAAGTGATGTTGGAACCCAAGGGGACGGATGGACATGCAGGTAAGGTGGTGGCGAGCGAACGAGATGTTCTTGTCTTTTTGTGACTTTTTAAGACGGTAGCCGCATGGGGGGGGGGGAGGCCGGGAAGGGGGGGTCCAGGAGACCTGAATGGGGGACGGGCTGCCAACGGGGGACTGGGGGATGGGGGGAACTTGGCACTTGGGACTTGGGGAGCGATGGGACCGGGGGGGTCCAGTAGCGCAGAGCAGGAAGCCCAGTGGAAGGCGGGCACCAGCAGCTCCCAGCAGGGTTTGTTTGGATGGATTCAGGTGGCCCTACGCTACTCGACGCTACTCGCTGTGGATGCACTGGATGCACTGGAGATGCACTGGCTGGATGCAACTGGATGCAGCACTCGACTCGCTGCTGGGTCTGGGTTTGCGTCCCGTCCTGCTGCGCTGCGACCAGTGGATGGCCGGTGGATGGCAGCTGCTGGTGAGGTGTTGAGGCCGAGGACACTCCCGTCCGTCTCGAGGAATCAGGACCGCTCCTGGCGGGCCCGGCAACGTTGAGAGGTTGAGCTTCAGCTGTGGATTTGTGTGGTGGGCCGGCTACCTGTACCTTAGTGGGAAAAGGTGTATTCCACGGAATGGATCAGGAATCTGGGAATGGATCGTGGAAGGATTCAAAGCAAAGAGCACGCACCCCTGCCGCTCTGGTTTCCGCTATAAAAGCTGCTGGACCCTTTGTCTCTCTACTTGGCCTGTTTGGGTCAAATGCACGAGGTACAGGCGCGAAAGGTGGTACCAAAAAGAGTACGTACCTAACCACTCGAGGGTTGAGAGAGGGAAACGAAATCGAGCCAAGGAAGGCGTGCACTAGGCTTGTGCCGTCCGTCCTCAATGTCGCAGATCGAGCGATGAACGTGGGACCTCCTCTCCTCGGTGGGGAGTTTGGCTGGCTACTAGCGCCAGAAATCCAACTCGATGGGCGATGGCTGGAGATGGCCGATGGGTGATGGAGTGATGGACGTGGACCTGACGAAGAACGTTGGGCTTTTTCCACCTTGATGTTTACCCACTCACTTTCTTCTGGTGGCTTTGGCCTTTCTGTACCCCCTTCGCTTCACCTTGTTTCCCTACTTGCCAGCTGGAATGGCCGGTGTTTCCGATCCAGTCAGTGGGAAATGCTATGTTGTCAAGCTTCTTCTGCGCAAACGCCCAGGACAATTTGTATCGTTCCGATAGTTGGCCAGAGAACCGTTCACGAAACCTCCAAGAACTACACTCGCTGCCGGTGACGTCTGTGCTTGCTTGAATGACGCGTCGCAATAAGTGAAGTGGACGGTTACAAAGGTCGACAAACGGGTAGACAGGCGAATGGATATCACAATTTGTCTTGATGCCACTGGTGACACCACAAAGACAACAAAAGGGGGGCCCGGGAGAGGGAAAGGGGGTGAAAAAGGACCAAGCACTTTGAGGAGCGCCGCCGTTCAACAAGCGGACGAGGACCGGATCTTGTAATAATCACCTCAGAACAGAACCAGCCAGCCAGCGCCAAACTTGAATCTGAAGGGATCACAAACTCACAAGCACAAGGGCAGCTGGGCAGCTGCAGCACGGCAAGGCAAGAATCTGTGGTTGTGCGGCCTTGTGCTGTGAGAGAGTGTGTTCGGAATGACACAAGAGTCGGAGAAAAAGGGGACTTGCGACAGGGCGGGCGGAAAGCGGCCAAGCATCCTGCTCCAACCCAGCCCATTTCTTAGAGAGACCGACCTGACCTGAGCAACGGCACGAGGGGATACAAAAACTCCCGTCTGGTGCATCCAATTCCATCGGCTGGGGGGAGGCATGGTGCATACAATGCGATCCGATACGATCCGATACAACCTCATCGACTTCGTTCCCGGTCCTGCTGCTGGTTGGTGTCTCATACAGTACTTTGATATTCCCATGTTGTACTTGCACTTATACGTCGTCGATATCGTCGCTGCTTGGTGGTCATCCATCCTTCATCTTTTGATGTTGGTGTCTGTCCCAACCACGTTGACGCTTGAAAGGAGTGCGATATCCTCATGTCTCCCTACCTACCGGTATCCAGTCGATCTAGATGCAATAAAAGGCCAACAAAGTCGACATATCGCCTTTGGTTTGCATGACAATACTGGATACCAATCAATAGACCGATGTCGCAGCCGATGGTCCCTTTCGGTTTTCCCCATGCCCATGCTTCCTCGGCGTGGTGGAATGAACTGATTGATACCTACGACGTCAGTAGTGCTTCTCGGCCGGTCTCAACCAAAGTGCGATCCCGCCAGCCCGCCCACCCGTGATGAGATGTGCGAGATGAGATTGGGACTTGGCATTCTGGCAAAGTGTAAGGAAGGATGTGAGGACGAGTGGATTTAAATGGAAATGCCGACGAGAAGAACAGGTGGAGGGTTGCCAAAGAGGCGTCACCGTCATCTGAAAAGTGACGATCACTCTGGGAAAAAAGCGCAGATACCCAACACGCCCAGCCCAGATTTGATGATGAGATGGTCTTTGGGTGAGATTGCCCCGATTGAAGTGGGGGAAGGGGAGCATTATCGAGGTCCTGGGTTTCTGGCCTGCAGGGGTCAGCACTAGCTACAAAAGTTACTTTTGCGCAAGACTTGGAAAGTCACACTAAGCGCCCACTAATAATATTTGTACCATTGTACTTCGCTTGCGCTGCATTCCCGCAGTTTTCCCGCGGCTGCTACTAGCCCCCTGAGTTTTGCGCGACCGCGATTATAATAAATATTGTTACTTATTACGTTTCCTATTGTATACTATATAATACTATCAAAATATAACCCTATATTAATTACCAATCTACGTACCTATTTATATATTAATAATAAGTGAACTATTCGCTACTATATACTATAATTCTTTATTCGTATACTAATTACCAGCCCGATATAATCCCGATATAGGAAAGTAGAGTAATAGATTCCTTAATTTTGAATAATAAAGTTTATTTTGGCCAATTATTTAAAGAAATAATTGCGATAATGTTACGCCTAATCCTACTTCCGATATATTTAATTAATTTATTCCTAAAGTATTTAATGAACCTGTACGCTTTAAATACGTAGAAAACGAATACCTGTTACTATTTAATTCCTTTTAAATATTTTCCTTATTTCTTTTTAGTGTAACTAATAAAGCTAATTGTTAAGGTAGCCGCCGCGGAAAACGGAGTAACGAACTTTTAAATTAATTCAAATAATTATAGGGCAATTAAATAATAGTTTTTATATTCTTATAAATATTATAAAAATCTATTAGCATTATTAGGAAGTAGGAACGTTTATAATATTAATTATTAAATAGGAATACGATTAGCGTTAGGTTTTATACGTTTATATTAAGAGGGAAATTTAAATATTAAAAAGGGGGTTAAAAGAGTATATAGAAAAATTATAATACTATTACTATATATATAAGGACGGTAAATAATTAAATAGCGGGATTAAAGAAATATTTAAAAATATCTACTATTTAGGAAGCCGTTATCCCGTACCCTTTAAGCGGGTAATTTATAATAATAATTATAAAGTTATTATTTTTAAATAGTATAATTATATTATAGATTTTTATAATTAAAATAATATATTAATAATTATAAAAGAGTATATTACGTTTCTCCTTTTAGTAAATTACTTTATTATAATGGTAGAAAGAATGGTCCTTAGGCGCAATTATCCTACTTATAGAGAGCGGATAAATTATTGCGAGGGTTATTATTTTACTACCCAAAAGTTCGCTAATATTATAAGGTCCTTAAATTTTAAATTAAAAAAAAACCGTACATCGCTAATAAAGAAAATTCCTTTATAACGAATACGAAAAATGTTTTTAAGAGTTTGATAGTCTTAATAATTAGAAAGTTAAATGCGTTTTCCTCCTTAATTTTAACCTAGAGACGAAAAAAAAGAGGAATAAACCTATTATTGGATTAGTCTTTGTAAGCGAGAATTATTTGGAAATTTTACGAGAATGTAGCGTAATCGTAACTATGGATTTAAAATATAATACGATTTATTTTACATTTTTATAATTTACAATTATAATATAAGATAATTACGGATTGTAGTTTCTTATTATTTTTTTCTTTACGTTTAATTAAATTAGCAAGATTATTGGAGAGTATTTAAAAGTATTAGTCGAATAGTATAGTAATCTACGAGGTTCAGCTTTAAAGTATATAGTTATAAACGATTTAATAACGGAATAAAAGGGTATACAGCTTATCTTTGATATTACTTATTATAGGGTAGATACGGTCGAATATTTATTATATAAAGAGTATTTTTGGGCTATATTTTATAAATATTCTTAAAATAATACCTGTATTTTGCGAGCTATAGTTGTAGCTTTATATAATTGGTTAATAGAGGAAAATTACCTCTAATCTATTAACGAGGCTATTATTTATACTAACCTAATATAAATTGAATATCTCTATAAAAATTGGCGAAATTATACTAAATATTAGGCGTATTAATTTAAATAAACAGTCCCGTTACATTTATAGGTTAATACTACGAATATAGTTGAATTCTAATATATTTATTTAAAAATTATTAATATTATTTTAAAGTAAGAAATGAGCGTATTATATAGTTTGACCGGTACTTTTTATATAATTATTGACGGCGTATACGATTATTTTCGTTATATTAATAAGTAGCGATCCCATTTAAAATTCTACCGAGGATTATTTATATTAGCTTTTCCGGAGTTTAGGTTTAATAAATTGCTAATTTACGTATAGATTCTCGTTTTTTAATAATATTATACTATTAAAGAATGGCGGCGTAAATAGTAACCCCTTAAGTTTAGATATATTCGTATGCTTAGTTAGGAAATATTTTATTAGAAGAATAATTTAAAAAATAAGATTTATCCTATATTTTTTTAGTTGTTAATTCGTTAATGTTTCATTTTTTTTAGTAATAGGATAGAAAATAAGGAGCCGAATACTATTTTTGTACCCGAACGATTACCGTTTGAAGAAAACGATTTTTTTGAACTATAAAATCCGAGATTTTAAAATTTCGAGGATAATTTAATAGGTGTTAGTAAGCGTTTTATAGGTATACTATAATATAAATACCATTAGTTTACTACTTAATAATTATTTTATATTTATATTTAATACTATTACTTCTCTTTTAGTTTATTGTAACCTACTTATTTTATTTAATTAATTAGTCTTTAGGTTGAAAATAGATTCGAAGTTTATAAAAAAATTCGTATACTATTTAAGGGTATTTTTAATTATATTATTAGTATATTTTGAAGGTATAGGTTGAATTTTCAAGAGGTTAATGAGAAATTAGTTACGAAGGTATAGGAGACTTTGGATTTTATAGAAGCCAACGATAGTAATTTAAATAAATTAGACTGGGTATTAAATAACTTCTACTTTATAGTTCGAAATAGCGTTAATATCATTAGCGCTACTAGGATAGAAGAATTAATTTAATTATCAAATAACGTATAGGTTAGATTTTAGGAATAATATAGAGTAAGATAGGAGGATAGCCTGCTACTTCGTTACTTTAGTAGTAGTATTTAATTTTTAACTTTAAGTTCTTCCTTTCTAATTTGATTTCCTTAATAATTGTCTAGGTTTTTTATTCTTAATTTTTAGAGTCCCTAATACTTTTTTTGGGAGTATATATATAGAGTATAACCTATTAATTCGCTACTTTAACGTTAGTATTCAATTTTTAATTCTAAATTCTTCTTTTTTAATTCGATTTCCTTAATAATTATTTGGATTTCTTTTTCCTAGTCTTTAAAATCTTTAATATTTATATAGAACTTTTTTCCTTTTTTCTTAAGAAGAAATCTTATTTTTAAAATCTTTTTTCGTTAACGTATTTGGTTGTATAGGGTTATTATTAAATATTTATAAATTACGAAAAAGATGCTTTTTAAATATATATTTGGGGTAGTGTAAATTTGGAGTTTTTGGACGTTTTTCTAAGGTAATACCCTTTAAAAATAGGCAATTAGTAAAATATTTTATAATATCATATAGTAAATAGTATAGTTATAACCCTATACTACGAGGTATACTTTTATATACATTATTAGTAATTATTATTTATAGCCGCTTATAATTAAGACCTAAGTACTATACTTAAGTAAAATTTAATAAAGATATTAAATATATATTTATTATATCTTACTTAATTATTCTATAAATCTTTATAATTTATATCATAGTATATAATTGTATATTTGAAAGAATATTCAAAATATTTATAAGATATTACCGAATTACTACTCCGTACTAGTATTTCGTATAAGTAATAAAATAAGAAATATTAAAATATTCTAAATTTATAATAATAATTAACGATATAATAAATTTGTTTATACTTTCTAATTATACTTTCCATTTATAATTTTATAACTACAAGCTTTTATACGTATCCCCTATATATTTATCGCCTTCTTAATTTCTATTAGTATTATTTACGTATATATAGCGAATTTTATTATATTATACGTTTTTCTTATTATTATAAGTATTTATATTTTTTTGTTAAATGAATTTAAATAGTAATTAATATAGATTTTAGGATTATTTAGTATATAATTTAAATTTATTAAAATGTCCCTTAATACGTACATTAGTAATAAGAAAATAGGCAGAAATAAAGAGAAGGGAATTCTAAAGAAGGTTCACGTAAAATAATTACTTTATTTTCCTATTATTTTCTAAAAATTAATATATAATAAAAAAATAATAAGAGATTGGAAGCAAAGGTAGAGGACGCGCTTACCCCGAATAAAAAGCTGACAAAAGAGTCCAGTATAGAGAGGAGTTTACTTTATAGCGTTTACGTTAATAGAATTATTAATAATAACATTAATAATACTTAGAAATATTTTATTTAAAAGGGTACGGGAGGTATTTAGTAAGAATGTGTGAAGGGTAATTATATTACCCTATATAAAGGTATAAATTAAATTTTTAAAATTTAATCATTATTTAATAAATACTACTACGCTTAAGTCCCGTATTATATTATTCCTAATTTAAAGGCTTAATAGGAGAAGAATTATATTTGAAAGTTTAAAAAACGTAT